TAGTAAAATGTCCCAAAAGAATTGCATTACTAAACAAAAGTTTTTATAAAATTCTTCACAAACATTCAATTATTTGCAAGCAAAAAATTTACATAAATTGAATTATTAAAAATAGAATTTGCACAAATTTTTTCGGAAAAAATCTATTGTTTAAAACATTTTTATAAAATTCTTCACAATAATTCAATTATTTTCACAAATTATTTATTTTGAAGAAGTTACAGTAACAATATTCTTGTATAATATAAAATAATGATTTTATCACTCAATTATTTTTAATTATTATAAAACTTGAAGAAAGCAATCACTATGAGTCTTCGACTATCGACTTATCTTCATGTTTTATATTAATAAAATAATATCCTTTTTTATAACGCGGTGCAAAAAGGGCACTTTTTTGCACCTTGTTATGAAAAATATCGTTCGCAACTAGTGCGAGCAGTTGTCAATTTTTGAATGAGCACTTTTTTTTCAAAAATTGACAACTGCTCGCACTCGTTACGAAATATACTATTAAGTTTTTGAATTCCAAAAAGGTTTAAATTTGAATTTTTGAAAATCTTAATTACCATGGAAAAATGATTAAATTTTTTTTTTAAATTATGAAAAAATTGATGTGTAATATTTTTATACTTTCGTTATTAAAAATTTAAATGAATTGAAAAGTAATTGATACGTCAAATAAAATTAAACAATTAGTCAATGTTAATTAATCAATAATAACGTTTCAAATCACAAATATATCTCAAATTAAAAATGACTTCTCTCAATGGAGATTATTTCGGCGATAATAAATAAACAAAACACAATAATATGAACAACAGAATAATGAAAACAATTAATAATGAATATATTATAAATTTATTAAGTTAGGCAAGGGACGCGTCATAACGAAGATTATGATTAATTTTAATTGATATTTATATAATTCGTTAAAATTATTGAATTCTCGGCCACTCTCGAAAATAGTCACTCATTCACACTTTCACATTCATTATATAAATATTAACAAGAAAACAGATAAACATTTAGATAAACCAAATTGACAAAGTGATATTTTAAAATAGATAATGAATATTAAAACTTATCGCTCGAAGATCGTCATCCAGAATGCAATCATTATCCTAGGAATCTCGAGAGTGCGAATCGGGTCGTCACAACTTGCCTTGCGGGCGGGAGATTGAAGTATTGTTGATAAAGATATATATATATATATAATTTCAATCCCAAATTTCTTATCCGTGCACCGGATGGACAGCATTCATATGTCCACAGTGTGACCTTCCTTAATCCTCCGACTTCCTCGATTCCCAATTTTTATTTTAAGAATTGTAAATTATAGTAAAAAAAAGTGACGCCACGCTATAAAAAGGATTTTAATTAAAATAAATATTTTTAATGAAATTTTACTATTAACCGTAATTATATTTGATCTGTTCACCTCTGAGCCATCGGCGATGTGCAGAGGATGACGCCTTCAATTTCAGCGATTGAGCAAACAATGGTATCGAGGAAGTCGAGTTCAGCCTTTATCATAATTTCAAAATCCCCTCCTACCAGTTTACAAATCTGGCACTTATATAATTTTTCCGATGTTTCTCGAGATTCCCGCGCTCTTTTGCGAATATTCACAATTCTTCATCGCTTAAACTCATCCCCCCTTTCGCCTCATCACTATTACTCTTTCAGATGGAAAAATTATAATGATTATTATTGATTGATTGATGATTATTGATGGAAAAATAATAATGATTAAATATTTAAATATAAAAATGAAGTTATTAATGTTCACGAATAATTTTTCAATTAAAGAAATTCGTCAATAAATGTAATAGAACATTTTTTTGAGTATCTAATAATTTTTAGAGTGAATCAGAATATTATCTTTAGGGTCATGGAAAGAGTCAAAATTTTGTCTGGAAATCAGGGAGAAACAAAATTAAATGTTTAAATTTTTCGAAAGAATTTTACGAACTCAAATATAGACAATAATTTTTCTCATATTATTTTTTAAATGGAAAACTTAGAACTAATTTTATTTTATTTATAGGTATATTTTCAAAATTTTTTTAAAATTAATTCTTTTTAAAGAATTTAATTAAAATTGTATTGAAAATCTTATTCAGAATTTTATCAAAATTGTTGAAAGTAATTATTTAATTATTAGGAAGTGAATTGTTTAAATTTTGAATCTGAAATTATTTTACGATTTTCATCGTCTGGCAATAGTTTTTGGTTTCTCCTCTTTAATCGTTACACTTCGATAAAAATAGTATATTTAATTTTTAAGCAATCATATTTTAAATTAATCTTTTTTTTAGAATCAGCAAAAAAAATGTTATTGCTTCGTGGGACCCTCCAATAAAACTGAATTCAAAATAGAAATGTTGGAAGTGCTGAGGATTACCAAACAGCGGTACAGAAACACGCTGAAGAAGCAGACGAATCAAACATCACTTGACAGTGATGAAAATCTGTTGGAGGAAATTAAAAGTATTCAAGAAATCATCGATAAAGTAATATCCGATGATATTGATTCGAATTCTGACGAGATCGAATAGTCGAGCGAAGCGATCCATGACGACGAAAATTTGTAAAAATCTATTGTTTAAAACATTTTATAAAATTCTTCGCAATAATTCAATTATTTTACAAATTATAAAACTCCTTGCAGAATTTTAATTATTTTTAAAACAATTTTAATCGAATTTCTCAAAAATGTAATTATTCTTAAAAATTCTATTAAAATTCGTCGAAAGAATTCAATTATTTGAAAATTTATTAATAACGTAGAATGTTTTCAGGACCTTAATTTTTGTCAAATAAAACAATTGTCCACAATATAAACAATTTTATTTTAAAATTTGTTAATAAAATATGTAAAAATTAAATTTTAAGAAACATTCAATTCTTCAATAAATTATCTTTGTTTGTATTTAAATAATTGAATTCTCGTAGAATTTTCAATAAAAATTGATTTAAAAATTAATTTCAGTTAAAGTTTCAGATAATAATTGAATTTTTGAGAATTTACTCTAATTGCAATTTTTAGACATAATTGAATTTTGTGAAAAATTACATATAACCAATTTAATCACATAAAAATTAAAATATAATTAATTAAAGTTAGAGATTTCTTTGTGAAAATAGCGATTTTAAAATCTTGAGTTCAAGCTAACGCCAATTATATAAATAATTTTGTTAAGCTTTGACAGTTGTACAATATGAAGTATAAATTCCATTTTTAATTCTAGACCAATATCATTCACAAATATTAAGTATTTTTTTCAAATTCTGTAAAAATAACTTCTCTTGCTCTAAATTTGTCAAAGTATATAAATTGCAAATTCGTCTTTTCCGTTCACTTGTTTGATCAATTAACCTAATTTTTGAAAAACATGTATCTCTTATTTATTGTAAAACAAGAAGAATGGTACATAGAAATGAAATAAGTAACAATAACATAGTTAAAATTTGTAACATTATAAGAATTAATAATAAATAATTATCTTAAATTCCCTACAATTAAGAGGTTCTATATTTTTCAAAAGTGTGGTTAATTAATAAATAAAACAAATGAATAGAATCGACAAATTTGCAATTAATATTCTGCGAAAAATTTAGAGCAAGAACATTTATTTTTATAGAATTTGAAGAAAATACTTAATATTTGTGAATAATTTTAGTCTAAAATTAAAGAATGGAATTTATACTCCATATTGTACAACTGTCAAAGCTTAAAAAAATTATTTATATAATTGGCGTTCGCTTGCACTCAAAATTTCAAAATCGCTATTTTCACAAAGAAATCTCTAACTTTAATGAATTACATTTTAATTTTTACATGATTAAATTGGTTATATCTTAGCTCATTTTACTACAAATTTATTACAGTTTAAAATGATCCAAGTTTGATAGCTGTTACACCCATTTTTACTAAAATATTTGAATTTGAAGTGAAGCGAGCATTCAAATGTAATCAGTCCAAATGTACTGAAACTCTGTGACCCCAGTATATATTTTTTAAATTCAAACAACGAAATATAAAATTATTTTAAATAAATATCAAACAAAATTATTTTTTTAAGTCTTTGTTTTTACTTTGAAATTCTACTTCAAGCAATTATATTGTGGACTCAACTTCAATTATAAACTTTTAGGTGCTTGCACATTTCCAAATTTTTTCATTATTACGACCATTTTAAGAAAAAAATCCCGTTGAACAAAGCAATTCCCGTACATTTCCCGCACATTTCCCGTACAAAAGAAATTCCCTTACAATTCCCGCACAGTGGACACCCTGTAATTATTAATACGACGCCTTTGAATTCCTTAAATTGAAAAGCAAAATACTAAAATTTTAAATTGCTTTTAACAAATATTATAAAAGAATTTCTTTCTGTGAATAGTAGCAATTTTAGAACCAAATTGAAAATTAGGGGCAATATGGTTGTAAAAATAAGACGCATGCTTATTCCCGAAATCTTTTTTAACCAAATAGTTATTTGATATAAAACTGTTAAGGAAATGATCGAGGGGAACTGCAGAGTAAAACAAGAGGGTTTGCGATATAAAAGAATACTGGATTGTATTAAAAGTAATTGGTACAAAATACACTTAGCCACGCAGGGCGAGAACAAAAAACGGTATGCTAGTTCCTTAGAACGAGTCTATAGAGAGAGTCTAAGACGCCCTCTGAGGGCAATAGATAAGGTTGGATCATAAAATGCGGGTTATTCAAATAACACTTTTTAACACTCCCCCTTGATACAACCACTGAGTTTACACGTTACACTTTGACATTCCCATAGACCGAATACACTGCTCATGTTTGGGTTTCGATAGAGCCTTCGTTAGCACGTCCGCTATCATTTTGTTTGATTCGATGTGGTTCAGTTTCACTTCACCCGATGCTACCACTTCTCTCACGAATTGGTGACGAACATCGATATGTTTTGTCCTTCCGTGATGAACAGGGTTGTTCGCCAATTTCTAAGCACTCATATGTTGTCGACGAAGAGAGTTATCGAGTTAACGTCATTCAGCCCGAGTTCTACGAGAAAATGACGAAGGTGAACGACTTCCTTGGCCGCCTCCGCCATGGCCATATACTCTGCCTCCGTTGTTGACAGTGCGACATTGCGTTGCTTCCGAGAGTCCCAGACTATTGCACCGCCACTCAAGATGAAGGCAAATCCCGTGAATGAGCGTCTGTCGTGAGTTGATCCTGCCCAATCTGCGTCAACGTAGCCGGCAAGATCACTTCTTTCGTGTGTGTAGAGGATTCCTAGGTCACTCGTGCCCTTAAGGTACCGGAGTACTCTTTTGGCAGCGTTCCAATGTGTTCTGTTGAAGCAGTTATTGAATTGACCTAAAACACTCGCGGCATGAGAAATATCTGGGCGTGTCGATATTGATAAGTACAAAATACACCCCACAAGTTCCCGGTAAGGAGGTTTCTCACCATCTGAATCTTCCCACGCGTTGCCCTTGACAAGTTTCGTTCCTATGTCCAGGGGTGTGGATACTGCGTTACAGTCTGTCATTCCGAAACGTTGTAGAATTTCCAGAATGTACGTCTTGTGATTAACCAGTATGCCCTTCTCGTTCATGCAAAAATCTATTCCAAGGCAGCGTTTAAGGTTTCCGACATCTCTCACTTCGAATATTTCGGAAAGTCTCTTTCCCAATTATGAAATTTTGTTGCTGTCTTGACAAATGACCAGAATATCGTCGACGTATACGACGATTATGATCAAGTTTTGATCCTTTCCAATTCGGTATACACAAGGATCCGACTTCGTTGGCCTTGCCCCCAACTTGTGCAGTTCATCATCCAGGCACTTGTGCCAGACTCGACCAGCCTGTTTCAAGCCATAAAGAGCCCTCTTCATGTGACAAATCATGTCACCACTTTTTAACTTCTTCAACATCTGACTCGCCTTGTCGACCCTGATGACAATCGACCTTCGCTCTTCCGTTTTTCCACGATGAATTTTAGCGTCTCTTCCAACCACTTTGGAGGCTCCATCAACACTTTCTCGTCGAGTTTGCCGTTAAGATATGCTGCTGTGATGTCATATTGTCGAATGATCATCTTCTGTTGAGCGGCGAAAGCAATCACCATCCTTATTGAACTTAACCGTGCCACCGGGGCATAGGTTTCATGAAAATCCTTTCCGTACTGCTGTGCATAGCCCTTGGCCACAATTCTCGCATTTTTCATTTCTGCAATTCCATCAGGAGAGTATTTATTCCGCAGGATAAAACGACTGCCTATCACCGATGTTACCTTAGGTCTGTCCACCAGATCCCAAGTATCGTTTTCGATGATCACCTTCATTTCGTCGGCCATTGCAGTCATCCATTCTTTAGAATCGTGATTGATCATCGCTTGACCAATGGGTATTTCAGTGAGAAAGGTAAGGTCATCTTCGTCTGCACAGCCCGCGGTGTTGCGAACTTTTCTAGGTCGACCTGGAAGGCCTGTCCAAATGACACGTGGTCTTCCTCTTCGTGGTGCGATTTGGAGGGCTTCTCGAGGAAATCCGTGGAAATCTTCAGCCTCTGATTCAACTTCATCAGGGAATCCGTGGAAGTCTCCAGCTTCTGATTCAACTTCATCGGGGAATCCGTGGAAGTCTTCACCTTCTAATTTCTCTCCCCCTTCCTCGTACAACTCGTCGTTCAATTCTTCGTCGGCTTCAGTGATCGGGTTTGGATTATCACATAGGTCTAATTCGTAAAATTCTCTTCTTTGTGTTGCTGGTTCGTCTGGAAGTCCTTGTACTGGAAAGAAGTCTCCGGAATCATCATTTTGGTGGATTGGCGATTTCTCGACAAATTTGACGTCTCTCGATATTTCCAGTCGTCTTTCAGCCGGTATCCAAACACCATTTGCTTTGGATTCTGTGCTGTACCCGACAAAGATGCCCCTTCTCGATCTGGGCTCCAATTTTCCAAGACTTGGCGACCTATTTAAAACAAAAACTTTATTGCCAAATCTTTTGAAATTTGTAACATCTGGTTTACCGATCCAAATCTCATGTGGTGTTTTCCCGTTTAGCTTACCTATTCCGAATAAAGTTGGCCGTGTTGACTGCCTCGGCCCAGAATGCTGCTGAAAGACCGGATTCGATTAGTAAACATCTCGCAGTTTCCATCAAGGTTCTGTTTCGCCGCTCGGCGACACCGTTCTGCTCCGGATTGTAGGGAGCCGTTAACCTTCTCGTCATTCCGTTCTTCTCAAGTACTTCGTCGAATTTCCTGTTGTCGAATTCTCGTCCGTTGTCCGACTGCAATTGTTTAATCTTATTATTCTTCTGCGTTTCCATGAACATCCTGAATTTCTCGAACACTTCTACTGCTTGGCTTTTGTGACTTAAAAACTTCACTTCACACCACCTGGAGCAACCGTCGATGAAGGTGATGAAATATAACTTCTTCCCGTTGGACACGACTCGCATCGGACCGCAGACGTCTGTGTGGATCAAATCTCCAACATTTGTAGTTCTTTCCGATGCTTTGGGAAAGGGAGGGCGGCACATTTTTCCCTGAAGACACACGGTACACTGAAAATCTTCGTTAATATTTTCGATCTTGACACCTTCAATCGTTCCTTTTCGTATAGCTTCTCGTAAGGAAGCAATGTTGAGATGTCCCATGCGAGCGTGCCAGTCTTGAAGGGAGTTCTTTTTCGGTATCCGCACCGTGTCGACATCCTGAACGTTTTTGCACTCTGATTTGTTAATTTCGCGTAAATAGTAAAGTCCACCTTCTCGATTTCCCGCGATCAACACTTTCCCGTCACGATTTATCACTTTCACTTCTGTTTTATTGAAAACGACGTCTTGACCTTTATCAGTAATTTTTCCGATCGAGATAAGGTTCGTACGTAAATCCGGGACGTATAGAGTGTCACTTAATTTTAGCACTTTCACATTTCTGTTTTCGACTGTGTCGGTAGATACAACACCTTTTCCTAAAATGTTCGTACACGCACTGTTTGCGAGGTTAAGTTTTCTATTTTCACTGTCGCGCGTCACTTCTACAAATGAATCCATGTTGTTGCACATGTGTGATGTGCAACCACTGTCGAAGCACCACACTCTTTGATGTACACTACTTGTTATTCCAAAGGCTTTATCGTCACTTGTTTCCGGATTTGTAAGCAGACTTATGTCTTCTGCACCACTCGCGGATTGACCGGTAGTTTCATTGGAAACGTGACAGTTTCTAGCACGGTGTCCGATTTTTCCACATTTGTAGCACTTCATTTTCGAGTCTTTGTTTACCGCGTTTCCTTTTTCGTATTTATTATCTCGTCGACCGTAGTTACCTTTCGAGTTTTTATTATCGTGTTTTCCGACAACCATCGCGTTTTGCACAGATCTCCGACTTGTCTCTTTTCGCGCGTCCGATTCTTCTGCCATTTTAACGCGAAGTATGTCGACCGTCGGCAATTCGTCGCGAGACGACATCGCGCATCGAATGTTCTCGTAACTTTCCGGTAAACTCCGTAGCAGCATGACTGACAACAAATCTCCGTTTATTTGAATTTGCAGTTCTGCCAACTTGTCGACCGTGTCTGAAAAGGACTGGCAATGTTCTCGAACATCATCGCCGTTTCGCATTTTTAGGGACATCAACTTGTTCAAATAAGCTGCCTTTCTCGCGGGGCCCTTGGATTGAAAAACACTATCCAATTGCGTCCAAATTTCCTTCGCCGTCGTACAGTCTTTTACGTGTTTGATTTCGGAAGGGCTTATGGACAGAATTATATCGGACTGCGCCTTTAGATCGGCTTGTGTCCACTTATTCGCGGCTTCTTGCGTATCTGGACGATCTGCAATCACCTCGGGTTTGACCACCCGGATGCATGATGCATCTACTGTAGTTCGCACTGCTGCTTCGTGAAGCCAAAGTTGTAGATGTCGCTACTTATTCAGTAAACCGATAATATAAACATAAACATATGGTATGAATGGCATAGACCGCAAAGACTTAGTATTTATACTTTTTCCAGACAAATTTATTTTTAGTTTGCAGATTTCTAATTTTATATAGAATTTTCCTTTATAAATAATTAAATTTTGAGTTGTATAATTTGAAAATGAACAAATTAGAAGAATCGCCAGAAGTTCGGAAAAGAAAAAAAGGTGGAAATAGATGTGTTGCTCCCGGTTGAACATCTGGATACGATTCAAATCCAAATTCTTTTAGTGTGTTTTGTGTTCCGGAAGATCCAGCAATTATTAAAAAGTGTCAGAAAGCAATTTACAGAGATGACATTGTTTTGAAACATGGACATAAAGTGTGCGAAAAACACTTTGCGAAAGATGACATATTGTGGACAAAAGAATTTATATCAGCTGATGGACATGTCATTGGTGTAGTAAGTTTTTAATTTTTTATAATAATTATAAAACATATTTAATAGTAAAATACCGTAGCTTATAATATTAAATAATTAATAAATGATTTCATGCAGAGAATTAACAAAATTGTATTGTAATATTAATAATTTATTAGGGAAAATACGAACGTCCTCGTCTTAGGCCTGGAGCGATTCCCATAAAATTTCCTGGATGTCCTAAGTATTTGTCAAAACCGGAACCTCGAAAAAGATCGTCTCCAAAGAAGAGGAATATTGACATTTATAAGAATAAAAAAATACTGTCAAGCAAATTTGAAAACAGAAACTCTAATTTAAATGAAAATAATTCACCATTTAAAGAATCACCTGAGTCGTCCGAATTATTTGACGGTAGTGACTGTAACTCGAAAAATATTGATAATTCGGAATTATTTAAGAATTTATTTAATGAAACAGAACCAATTAAGTTTTCGTTCGCTTGGAGAAAGCAAAATATATATGCAACTGAAGTTGGTTCTTTAAATATGATTCAAATTTCACAGTGGGCCTCTCGGAAAGTTGGAAACGAAAATTCAACTTATTCTAAAAGAATTGTAGTTGACGAAAATTTAAATTTAAAAATTTATATAACAGGAAATCTGCTGGATTTAGAGAAATTTAATATTGAAAAAAATCGGCAGTTTAAATGAATTAGAGAACATCATTTAAAAAATGGACAATTTTAAGTACTGCTTAGGGTGCGAATTACCTGAATCGTATTTAGGAACTGAAACTTCAGCTGCTTATATGGACAAAGAAGATTTTTATAGAAATAAAAAATGTCCTTTGCTTTTGCCCGCAGAAGCGGAAGAATCAAATTGTAAATTCTGTACCAGAATTAAAACAACAATTGATCAAAAAATGCGACGAATTTCTAAGAGGCATTCTATTCAACGCGTTTGCATAAACAATTTAAACTGGCACCAAAAGAAACAATTGAGCCTAATTCGTGGGAAATGGGAATGTTCTCGAAAAAAGAAAATAAGGTATCTCTTGAAGCTCAAGTACCTCAGAAATTCTTTAGATTTTCATAGACAAAAAATTAACAAAATTTCGGAGAATTCTTTAGATAATTTATTAGAAAAAAGCACAATATCTGGAAATGAACGTCTTGTTCTGAGCGAAATACTT